GGGGTGCACATTTGTGCATTTCTTTGCACGTGTGTGTGCATGTGTGTGTATGTGTGTGCATTGGTGCACATTTGTGTGTGTTTTTTTTTTTTGTGTGTGTGTGTGTTTGTGTGTACGTGCCTATGTATGTTTTTGTGTGTGTGGGTGGTTGTGTGCATATGTGGGTGGCTGTGCGCACATGTTTTTTTGGTGTCTGACACTTTCTGTAGTTTTGATGAGCTGGGCATCCAGCGTGTTTTGCCGGATACTTCTTTCATTCACCGGTGGAGAGACAAGATAGAGGCGGTTGTCATTACTCATGGCCACGAAGACCATATCGGCGCCTTGCCTTGGGTAAGAATTCCTAGAAATTGCTACATCTATACATTCTTTGTGTGTTTGCTTCGCTTCATCTTTGCTCCCCTTTTATCCTCTCTCGTCTCCCTCCTCCCTCCTCCCTCCCTCCTCCCTCCTCCCTCACTTCGTCATCTCCTTCCCATTCCTGGTGCCCTTCCATGTCCCCTTCTCAACACTCTGCTATTTATTGTTGGAATCATGTAAGCAAGAGAGAAGGGAGAGAGGAAAGGAAGGTAGGCAAACTGATTTCTGCTTGGGCCAATCTTGATGGTTCTATCCACTTCTATCTGGTTTTGCAATTTACTAATTTAGTGAAGTCTGGTCCAAAAACACTGTGGGTTCATCCGATGGCTGGTTTATTCTGGTTCAGTAATGATTCACAGTGGTTTGATCTGATCCAATCTGGTTTACTGTGGTTCAATCTTGTCTAAACTCGCCCAGTTTTGTCCAGTCCAATTTGGTTCAGTCTGTTCTTCAATCTGGATCAATCTCGTTTCAATCGGGTCCAGTCCGGTCCAATCTGCTTCAATCTGGCTCAATCCGGTCGACTCTGGTTTTCAATCTGGTTCAATCTGGTCCAATCTGGTTTTCAATCTGGTTTTCAATCTGGTTTTCAATCTGGTTTTCAATCTGGTTTTCAATCTGGTTTTCAATCTGGTTTTCAATCTGGTTTTCAATCTGGTTTTCAATCTGGTTTTCAATCCGGTTTAGTCTGGTTTTTAGTCTGGTTTTCAGTCTGGTTTTCAATCTGGTTTTCAATCTGGTTTTCAGTATGGTTTTCATTCTGGTTCAATCTGGTTCAATTTGGTTCAATTTGGTTCAATTTGGTTCAGTTTGGTTCAGTTTGGTTCAATTTGGTTCAACTTGGTTCAATTTGGTTCAATTTGGTTCAATTTGGTTCAGTTTGGTTCTGCCGGTCGTCTTTGGAATAGAAGAACGCACAGTCATTATAGCTGTATGTGGGGTGAGTTTCAGCTTAGATACAACGATAATGACCGTGCATTCTGCTGGGGGGAAGACAGACAGAACCAGTTCTTGTTCAATTTGACTGATGCACCTGGCTCTCACACCAATTGTGGTGCAGTCAAAGCCACCTGGTTCACTTTTATATGACGTCTTACTGCTTTGTAAATTCCAGTGAGCAATGGGTCTAGTGACTCTAGTGACTTCAGTCTGGTTCAAGCCAATGGGTTAAGTCTGGTTCTAAGTTCAGAACTGTGGTTAAGAAGCTGGTCCAATCTGGTTTAATTGGTTCAAACTTCAAACTTCAATGAGCTTTATTCCAGTAGTGAATAAAATCTGGTCCAAAGACTGGCTCAAAGTTCGAACTGGTCTTTGCACCAGAGTCTCCTTTCCTTTGTGGTTCGCATCTAGAATATTCGAGCAGTGAATCTGGTCCAATCTTGTGGTTTGATTCAACCTGGTCCGTCAATCTCGCCCCCCAGTTGGTTTTTACCTTTCTGGTTCAGTCTGATGCCATCTGGTTCTGTTTGTCTCACGCTGGTTTAGATTCCCTTCCTGCTTCTGGATAGCTTCATTCAAGTCCATTGATTTTATCTTCTTCTTCTTCTTGTTCTTTCTTCTTTTTTTTTTTTTTTTTTTTCTTTTTTTTTTTTTTTTTTTTCTTTTTTTTTTTAAGGTTGAAGCCGGTGGCCCCTTCTGAGATTAATGTGTGTATATATCAGATTATATCTGATATTTCTGATTTATTTATTTATTTTGGGAAGGCGGCGGCCCCTTCTAAGATTAATGTGTGTATCTTCTGATTCCATGAGGATTTGAACTCCTGGAGTCACGATGAGGTTTTTACCTACAGTCACATGACTCACATGGTCTAGGTACAGTGTACCATTCAGTGCGCATGCGCTTTGTTCCAAAGTTAGTGATGACCAGGGGATCTTATTGGTACGACTGTCCTTGTGCTGTTCTGGTGGCTGCTGTAATTTTCAATAATAATAATTTTAATATTAAAAAAAACAGGTGGTTCCTGCGCTGGACCCCAGCACGCCAATTTTTGCGACCGGATTCACCATGCAGGTATGGCTTTGTCCACCTGGTACTGCAACCTCTCCTTTTTTTTTTATTAAAAATTTTTGCTTTGATTTTTCGGAATTTTTTTCCTCATTTAAAGAAAACTGTTTTTTTTTTCTCATTTTTTATTTTTAATATAATTTGCATTGATTTTTAATATTTTATAATTTTTGAAACGGGTTTCACCCTTTTGCAGTAGCGGGTGTCGATCCCAGGGCTCGATCCCTAGACCTCACTACCTGTGTACAGTACCCATGTGTGTGTTTGAACCTGTAACCTGTGTTTTAGGAGGCAGTAGTAGTCTGTCGTAGACCTGTGTGTCTGTCAGGTCTTGAACCTTAGATCTGTCGCGTAGGAGTCAAAGTTTATAGTAGAGGTCGTAGCTGTAGGAGTCCTGAAGGGTCAAGGTCGTAGCTGCTACATTCTTGAAAGGTCAAGGTCGTAGCTGCTACAGTTTCGAAAGGCCAAGTCCACAGCCTTCCGGAAGGTCCGGAAGTGGCCTTTCGCAGATTGCCCACAGCAGACCAGAGGCAAGTGGGCAAGTGGTAAACCCACTGCACCGAGTCAGCAGTGCGACTGCACTGAGTCGGCGGTACCATCCCATGCAGTCAGCGGTACCCAGTCCCAGTCTCCCCTCGTCCAGTCAGCAAGTACCATGTGGGACTGTGTGCACCAAGGGGCCGGTGGAAAAGGGCAGACCAGCCACGAACAGAAGTATAAATCACGTCCAGCCACTCATTCATTCGCTGCGTACGCCATGCAGAAGCGCTGCTACAGCGTCTTGTGCGAAGGTGGTCTGCAGGTTGCTCGAAGACGAAGTGGGCTGAAGGGAGATCGTAGCCTTAGTTAGTAGTGGTAGTGCGGCCATAGCCGCTGTAGGAGGAAGTGAGATTAAGCGTGTGTGTGTGGTGGTATTCAGGGTGATCCAGAGTGAGCATGTGTGAACAGTGGGGTTGGACACACTGACGAAGGTTGGGGATGTTCAGGCGCCGATGCGCCATAGCCTGTTGAAGTGAACTTGCATCTGAACTGTGTTCTTGATTTCCACATCTCTAAGCTTTGAGTGGGCGCCCTGCGCCGGTGTGAATCTCCATCTGTTTGCATGTGTGTGAAGTGGAAGTGAAAGCGAGTCTGATTGCATTTTAAATATTTCACAAATTAATATGGGTCTTAGAATCTTTTAGATTTTTATGTAATAACCCGCAAGATTGCGGACTGGGAATCCTGTGTTTTTCTGAGTTCTTGGCACTTTTTGCCGTTGTTCTGTCTGTCTGCTGGGATTTATGCTGTCTGAGTCTTTTCGTGATGTGGTGGTTGCTGGCATCTGTTTGCCGTGTCTCTGTCCGTCTGTTTTAGTACTTGAGTGTGTTGTTAAAGCACCCCAAATTCTTTCTCATTTCCTCCGCAAATCATGACAAACCATCCATAACGAAAAAGTACAGATAGCTGAGTGAGGACGCCGGGTGGCTGTGATGTGGGGCAGATGCGCTTTTTTCGTCTTCTTTTTGTTTTGTAAGGGGTGTGTGTGTATACAAGGGGGGTGCGCGCACGCGCGCGCGCGCGCGCGCGCGCGCGCGCGCGAGAGAGAGAGAGAGAGAGAGAGAGAGAGAGAGAGAGAGAGAGAGAGAGAGAGAGAGAGAG